TTAGGGTACCCGCACCATTGCTGCAGGGCATCTTTTCTTTAGGGTACCCGCACCATTGCTGCAGGGCATCTTTTCTTTAGGGTACCCGCACCATTGCTGCAGGGCATCTTTTCTTTAGGGTACCCGCACCATTGCTGCAGGGCATCTTTCCTTTAGGGTGCCTTTGCTGCAGGGTGCCTTTGAGCAGGGTGCCCATACATTTGCTGCAGGGCACCCGTGCCATTTCACCCACAATTCAGCTCACCCTAACCCTGGCGTGTTGGTGGCATGTTAACCCCCCTCGCTGCTGTCTCCACCTACAGGGAGGAGAATCAGGCGGCAACAAGAGAGCCGTGTGCGTCATGGTGGTGCTGCTCTTCATCACCTTCAGCTTCAGGCCCGTCAGGTACAGTGCGCATTAAAATTATAAACCGAAAATGAGGACTGTAACTAGCTAATGATGGGTCTCCTATTGTGCATGTCCTGCAGTGGCCTGGAATCCTGGACAGGGCGTCCCCTGCCTTGTACCCTGTGCTTCCTAGAATAGGCTCCAGGGTCACCTCAACATTGTACTGAACACGTAGCTTTAGGTGAATAGGTGGTTAACGTTTGTATGTTTGCTACATCAGTTTTCCAAGTTTGCATTAATCAGCCAGTGATGAAAATGGATTTTTTCGCAGCCTAAGTATAATTTCATACTCATGTTTCTCACTCAGCATCACAGACAGGAAGTTAGAGTCTGGGTTACAGGAAGAAGCAGCCCCTCTCACTGGGAGACACCTACTTGAAATTGGGCCGGCCGAGGAGAGCGCCAGGATGCGTGAGAGCGAGAGGACACCGGTGGAGCGGATAGAGAGTGAGGAGGAGGGCGAGGAAAGGTGGAGGAGGGGCGAGATGGAGAGAGAGTCTGCAGATTCCTACCAGCTAAGGTTGGCTTATTATCAGATATCTTCATGAGAAGCTCTTGCCACAAAGCAGCATGTGATAGAGGGCTGGTCCTGTGTTTGGTTACTGCTTTGCATCGTCTTAGAGAACCTGAATACGTTCCTGTACGTCTCATGGCTCTGTTTCCAGGTCCTCATCTCTTCTTAGCCGTGGTCTTAACTCCTGAAATGGTGTCCCACAATAATAATACTAGAAAAGACTTTACATACACTGTCCTATAGATTTATGCATATAACTTGAGTCATTTTGCATGTTATTACTGTGTATGACTCGCAAGCTTAGTGAGTTGCTCATTAATTTGGGTTGCATTGTAAATTGAGAAATAGTTATTGAACTGTCAGTAATAATTAGGAATCACCTTTGTTAGCTGGTAGTTAATAGGCAGTAAGATATATATATATATATATATATATATATATATATATATATATATATATATATATATA